GGCTGGGATAGTGGTGGTTTCATGGTGGAAATTGGCATAAGTATTTTGACGTAAAATTTCAAGCCGTTTTTGTGAAATTTATTAGTAAATGCATTTCAAAAGTATTTATTTAAAGTGTGAAAGGAGAATAATTAGAAGAACATGGATATTTTTGTTCCAATAGCTTATTATGTGAGACATGATCGGTACTAACGGGTACTTCTAAGAAGTAGTGAAGAAGTACCAAACAGCCTGCTCGGCTACGATCGTCAGCTGTCCTTTGGAGCTGGACTTCAACGCTGTAAAAAAAATATGTGCTGAATTAATTTTTAGTTTCACCAAAATATAAGCAATTTATCATTTCTTTTTCACTTTTGTAATTATTGTTGAGTGAAGAGACATGTTGCTAGTTCTGACAATATAAATTATTAATAAAAAAAAAAAAACGAAATGCGACGGTATCTGCTTCTAAATTATCACTTTAACCAAATACATGGAGAATCTTGCTACCATTGCTTATAAAACGTGCTTATCAATACACAAATGTTTTATTTCAGACAAGAAGGATTTATTTGCCTGAAGTCTTGCGTCATGTGCTACTGCTTTGATTCCAAAGACGCTCTCCGGGTCGGGGTAATTTAGTTCTTCATCGATCGATAAGAGATTTTGATTCCATTGATATCCAAATTGATAAGCTCGGCACCATGGAGTAAGGGCGTCCCCACAGGGGTGACGCAGGAAATATGAATGGCGTTTACACCGACAGTAGTTTTCCACAGCCGGCAATGGGAATCTCCTGTCGGTGGAAACGCCACTATAGTCCCATCCAACTCAAACACTGGGGAATATCCCCGCACTTTTGAGGACGGAAATCTATGGACAGCTCGAAAAATAGTGGATAAAATACGGCGAGCTTTCAGTTTTATGGTTGGGTCTCCCTTCCGAGGCACATATTTACGGGGGATATTGGGTCATATTCCCCCGGCGTCCTGATGATCGACGCCCAGCTCAACGTCGAAGGCGCCCTGATACGCGGCACTGCTATCTGTGAAGGTGCCCAGGTTGCTGCCGCTCGAATTTTGGTCGCCTACTTAACAAAACCTCCGTTGGTGCCATCTCAGTTTCCTCGAGGTCAGGCAACCTTCACACACCGTTGGCTACCTTGGCTGGCCGGCGACTCGTTCCCCTCGTGGCGACGCTCTTGACATCCAGTCAAAAGTTGGAGTGGCTGGCGCCCCCAGTGGGGGCCGGGGAAGGGGCAGTGGGCCTCCACGTTGCTCTCTTCCCGAGCCTATGGTGACTTGGCTCAACTCTCCTCAATAGAATATGGATTCTGCACGCTGTATTAACATGGGCGTAGACACCACTACGGACAATACGGACAGTGGGTGTGACAATCAGTAGTGCCATTCATATAGAGGGTGTCATATATGCGCGGAGAGGCAACAGTACAGCTGAGCGGAGAGACAACATTAAAACAACAGTACAGCTGGCGTTGCATGGAGCTGCAGGCAACCGGACAGCGGAGGCTTGCGAAAAATAAACAATTCGTCACTTCAACGTATAAACAATAGTATAAAAAGCAACATAAACACATATTCTCATGGTCGAACCCATGCACTAGCGGCTCACGGCGGGCACAGGCAGCAGTGCGGTAGCGGTACCGGATCACACGTCATGGGCGTTGTCTCAGCATAGGTTGTTATGAGCGGAGAGGCAACGGTACAGCTGAGCGGAGAGACAACATTAAAACAACAGTACAGCTGGCGTTGCATGGAGCTGCAGGCAACCGGACAGCGGAGGCTTGCGAAAAATAAACAATTCGTCACTTCAACGTATAAACAATAGTATAAAAAGCAACATAAACACATATTCTCATGGTCGAACCCATGCACTAGCGGCTCACGGCGGGCACAGGCAGCAGTGCGGTAGCGGTACCGGATCACACGTCATGGGCGTTGTCTCAGCATAGGTTGTTATGAGCGGAGAGGCAACGGTACAGCTGAGCGGAGAGACAACATTAAAACAACAGTACAGCTGGCGTTGCATGGAGCTGCAGGCAACTGGACAGCGGAGGCTTGCGAAAAATAAACAATTCGTCACTTCAACGTATAAACAATAGTAAAAGCAACATAAACACATATTCCCATGGTCGAACCCATGCACTAGCGGCTCACGGCGGGCACAGGCACGCAGTGCGGTAGCGGTATCGGATCACACGTCATGGGCGTTGTCTCAGCATAGGTTGTTCGCAATCTAGTTGAAGCCTAAGAAGACGGCCAGTGGGGTCTCACTGCTGCTGAGGCGACCTCGGAGAAGATGCGTCGCCCCTCCTGTCGGCGACCTGCGGTGAGCAGGACTCCAGATAGCTGTCTGGCACGTTGCCGACACTGCCAGACGCTGTCAGCAGGCCTCACTGCTGCAAGTGATGTGCAGAGGGACGCCAGGTGACTTCGTCTGCAGGCGATTCCGGAGACCGCGGCCTCACCAGGCAGCACCACCTGCATCGCCATGTCGGTGTTTCTAGAAATGGAAAAATAACAATATCGGTGAAGGACAAGCAATACAATGAATTCTGTTTTCCTCTCTTGCAGGTATACATAATCTACAATTATCATTGTTCCTATTTCATTCAACTGAACCTGAAAATTCCATATTGGCACATTGTTTGACTAAATTTGTGTAGTTGGGAACAGGGGCGACGCCACGGTGCGACGACTGGAGGGGACATTGACCATTTTGGAGGGGACAAGGACCATTTCAAGTCGATTCTTTCCATGCAACGCCATAGGCGTAATGTTAAAATTTTAAAAAGTGGAGGGGACGAGATCCCCTCCGTCCCCACCCCCTGTGGCGACACCCTCGGTTGGGAAGCAGATTGTTTGAAATACATGTTTGGCTGAACAGTGCGGAAAATATTTCATTGATCACTATAGCTGCAACAAAAATACTGACAGAAAACATTTGCGCTTACCTGGCTCCTTAGTCAGTCCCGCACAACGGAAGTGGTACCATTTATCGCAGCCGTCGCATCCGACCATCGGTGCTGCACTGATGCTGCTGCACTCCCCACATTCCCAGTACCTTAGGAGCGTCTTGGCTGTGAAAAGATTACATGAGTCATGGCGCATACATGAATAGTAAGATGTTTTATATGTTTGACATCGCATAGCAAAGACACAACAGCTGGGAGTCAAGTGTAAGCCAAAGTGTAAGCCCTGCCATGTTTTGCAGACTGGATTTTAAGCAAGAAAAGCGTTGCTAAAAATGACGCTTGACGAAGCCTCATCCTACTAGGCTGTATGACATGTCTCCCTGTAAAAAGCATGTGGCCCTTATATTGTATATATGATGAATATGTTAATAATGCAGAGAAAACACAGTATAAATTATACCCAACGTTTCATCTTAATCGACTTTGTCAAGGGTGTTTGAACAGCTTGAGATGAGTGAAGTGTAAGGGTGTAAGGGTACCTAGGTACATCTGAAAATAAACTGAATCTGCGTTCAATAAACATTGATTTTGATAATACATTTCACAAAACAACTGCTAATAACAATCATACTAAAATAGCACGACAGATAACTAATAATCTCAAGAAGAACTTCTTGATTCGCCTTTCGACATTGTCGTCCGAACGAATGTTGTGAAGTTACACATTTGTCTTTTCTGCGCAGCATTTGTGTTTGCCATTTACCGCACCAATGTTCGCCAGCGGTGGTGACTTTTCCTTACCTGCTCACGAAACGTCACACACGACATGACGTCACCCGAAGACGTCATCAAAAAGTCCAGCTCTTAGGCGTGCCCACATTTTTCTACCTTTTAAAAGAAAAATCTCACCGTCATGGGCCTTTTTACAACCGTAACGATTCATTTGAAGTCAAAAGTGTACCCAAATGAATCAAAAAATTGATTCCATGCCCATATTTGGTCATGGCTCCTCCCACCAGAATCAAATTATTGATGCCTCCATATTTTGATTCCAAAAGTCTAGTTTGCCCAACTGAAGTGGCACTAGCTCACGACTGAAGTGTGTGACCCTTATACAGTCCACTACAATATCTACACATAACGGTAAGCAGATGCATACAATCGAAAGAGGCAAACAGGTATAAATAATGGTGCCAAGCTTCCCTCATATAGCTGCAAAATTAAAAATATGAATTATACCTACCACCCAGCACCCGCCGACGTCCTTGCACTCATCAATAAAAACAAATCAGCGTGGCGGATGAAGGTGTACGTCTCATTAGGCATTTGTGGCGCGCATAGAAAATAATCACGTGATCCGTCACTATGACAAATGATAATTGGTAATTGAACGCCCAGTTGAGGCAATTGAGTAAAAGTGTTTTTTGTTTCTAGAATGTGTTCATATTTTTTAGTCAAATTAAACATTCACCCCCACCTTTTACTCCCAAAATAGAAGTAATCTTTCGTTTATGTCACGTGATTAATCGGTAGCTAAAACAGAACGTCCAACGGATCAACCACGTGCATCAATTTTGGTGTGAAATGTGCATGGCTGGATCCACTTCAACTTGTGTAAACACATTCTCGCGAGACACGTGGCTGGAGGAAGACGTTTCTGGCGATCCGGGGCGATAGCGAAGGCACGTTCATAAAGTTGGCTTCAAATTCGGATTCGGATTCCAGCACAACATTCGTGGAAAAAATGACAAAAACGGACCCCTCAGAATCGATTTAAATTAACAGGATAGATAGACCAAGACATGCTTATTACGAAAATAAATCAACTAGGCTTGGCACCCCCTAAGAACTGAGGAATCTTAGGTCAAAGTTCAAGGTCATTCTCGGCGGACCCTTTGGATTCTCGTAAAAATTGGTACAACTATAGTCCATGAAGAGCAGATTTCGAAAATATCATTTTCTTACTTTGGCAAGCAGCACGAACTGATATATAGTAGGTCAAAGGTCAGAATCAAGGTCACGTATGTGTAATACAGGAAGTGGAAGTGACCACGTGGCCAGGTGAGAAAGGAGGACCCCTTAGATTTCAATAATTTTTTGCTCAATGATGCAACCAATGTTGGAGATGCTACTGCTGGTTTTTCTTGTTTTGGCAAGGTCAAACTACGGAGAAATGACGGGTCAAAGGTCAAGGTCATTTTTAGCGGACCCTTTCGATTCACATATAAATTTTTATCCCAATACAATTTTTAATGCTGGTTATTATTCTGCGTATTGTTAGGCTTGGCAGGTCTTAAATTATTTTAAAATATTTAAATAATTTAACCTTTAATTCACCTATCCCAACATGGCTACCGTGCGAGCACCTATCAAAACCTTGATGAAAATAACAAACCGAAAATCTGAGAAACGCGATTTGACCTTGGACGTGCCCCGTGCCAGTGCACTGACCTTGGGTGCTGAAAAGAACTTGATTTGGTAGGTATAGTGTGTTTTGGTGTGGGTTATTGTAATTTTAATGTATTGCACATTGCCTGATTTGCGACACAACTTACAAAATTGAAATAGCAGTCGTAAGTAGTGTCAGTGTCGCAAGTTGACCTTGCCTTGGGGTATACCGAATAGGTCACAGGTCATTCGGGTCATTGCCTCGAAATTTACGTGGTACGTGTAAAATTGTTTGAACTTGAGATCCTGAAAATTTTGTTGCAATCCGTTGATGCTAATGCAAGTTATAGAGCTTGAACTGACAGGTCGTCTATGAGGCCTCCATCCATGCCAGCGAGGCAGCAAGAGCACGGAATATATAGTCTACGACATGGAATGGACAAGATCGAGATTTCCTGTAACTGCCGAGTTTTTGGCGACCTGATGATTTAGTCGTGCGGATTCGCTGTGGTTACTTCCTTTACGAGGATGAAAGTATAGTGCCAGACCTATAACTAATAGGGGAAGGTGGGGCATAACGGGGTACCGGGGCAATATGAGAAGGTGCATTTTATTCTTATCAGGTGCTGCTGTCTGGAATCACTTCTGACAATTTAACCCGCGCGGGGCTGGGGTCTCCAGCCGAACGCGCGGGGCTGGGGGGGGTGTAAATTTTACCCCCCCCCCCTGTTATCTCCCGAACTAATGGTCCGATTTGGAAAATTCAAACGCCAATCGAAAGATCTCATCACGAACAACTAAAAACATGTACTTAATTTTAAGTTTGAGGTCAAGATCAAGGTCAGGTCAAGGGTACAAATTGCAAGTTCCTACAGTATCGGCCTTGCACCGTAGTTGCCGAAGAATGGAGTCATGGACTGAGACTGATCGCCCAAAACGTGTTCTTAGGCTACCAAGACAATATTCGTTGCATACAATATCATTCAGAGGTCAAGGTCAAGGTCAGGTCAGGTCAGGTCACCAAAAACAAAATATAGAAAAGGACATGTGCGACACATGTTTTATGGGTCATTTTACTCATAGAATTCAATAGGCACACTCAATAAGTGATATGGACCACCTCTGGATGAATTTCAGGTCGAGGTCAGGTCAAGGTCAGGTCAAGTGAGGTCAAATTTTGAAGTTGGTTGTTAAGGCCTAAAAAGATGTCTATCTGATGCAGTTTTTCACGGAGAATCGAATGGTGCTATTTTTGTTTCCGTACGAGGTCTAGAACTTCCAAAAAAGTCATTTTTCAAAAAAATGTGTGTTGTGACGTCATACAATTTTGAATAACTCCCACATTTTTGAACTGATTCTTCTAAAACTTGGTATGTAGGTGCACATAGACCACTTCTCTGACATATATTCCGGTTTTTTCAATGCACTCAAAATTTTGGATTTTGTAATTATTTTCCCAAAAAAGTCAGTTTTTTTAGAAAAAAATTTGGGCCAAAATCCGAAATTTTCAAAAAACCGAGATAGCCATTTGATAGACAAAGTAGAATTACGTATATCCTTTTTTTGTTACGTCTTGATTCCTTTAAAAATGAAGATGTTAGCGGCGTTTGAACTTTTGCCGTTTTTGAGGCGAATATGGCGAACATGACGTCACTAAAACGTCAATTTCTCAAAAAATATCCAACGGATTTCGCTCAAATTTTCAGGGAACGTGTCAAATTGATGTAACAAAAGGTACTGAAAGTTTGGCGGCGCTGCGCGCCGCCGTTTTTGAGATATTGCAAAAATTCGCGAGGGGGGTAAAATTTACCCCCCCCCAGCCCCGCGCGGGTTAAACTTCGCTCGTTTGCCGCCCTTTTCCGGTGGACGCCGGCGGGAGGTGGCGTTGCTGAGGATGGTGGGTAAGGTTTTTTCATGGTGCTGATGTATTTTTCAACATTCGTTTGGTAACTTCCTAGGTGAAAATCCGTTCGAGTAGGTTTGTCATAGTCAGTGAAAGCAATGACTCTCGTCCTAGCCAACCTTTCGCTGCGATAGAAAGTTGCCGGCTGTTTTGATAAACATGAACGATCCTGCTCTATTGCCAATGTCCTTCGGGGGTTAAAACGGGTTTCCGGTAGAGGCGATATGGGGTGGTCAATTTTACCACATTTTACCACATTTACCCCATTTACGTGCCCAGAAGTGCTTTTTTGTTACAGTTAAAACTAGTTGCCTTTATTGGCCCACTCACGTTTCATAAATGCATTTAGAGGAGGGGTTGTGTTAAACGTTTCAAACGTTGTCATAATGTTTCTTCATTATAAGTAGGTACACAGGCACCGTGTATGTGCCTAATACATATTTTTGCCGAGATAAACTCTTTCATTTTCAGTAGCTTGGATCTTGGTTTAAGCGGCGAGTGCACAGGAACGTGCACCCAGCAGCCTGACACAAGTCCCAGATTTTCACCACGCCTTTTATCGTTTAAGTCGCAGTCCTCGAATGGAGTCGATGCTGGCGCCGCCACCGACCGTCCACCGCTGCAGCCAGGCGTCGCTCTCCTGAAGAAACTGCATGTGTTCTCCCGCCGTTGCTGGATGGAGGCTGGATATCGCGCGTCGGTTTGAGCAGGGGTTGAACCGGGCGGAAGAGTTTAGCACATCGAGCAGGTCGTTGAGGCGCAGCAGGAGAGTAGCAGTCGGGAGTGCAGTGCGCGGGAGCTTGCCGTGGGTCGCCTGCAATGTGATTGCTGCTGCTACTGTCCGGCTCATCACCTGTAGGGCATAGCTGACTTTCATTTTTCAAAGCTGTTTGGCCTGATGTGTTTCTGGCTTAGTTTTGGAGCAGCCCGTGGGGAAGAAGCGCATTCCAGTGCGTAGAGTGTTTCTAAATGACTCCAAGAGGCTACTTCACCGTCTACTTCAATATCGTATTTCATTAATGCATTTCGTATGCATTTGAAGATGTGAGGCACGTCATACAGAGCAGCAACCTCGTGCCCGTCCACGGTGAACAAGCCGGTTTCCGCAGCTCCGAGCAGTCTGTAGGTCGCCTGGTTGTTCTTTGACATGTCACAAGTTGTAGCTAGCACAGTGAATCCCGCTGTTGTTACACGTTGGACAGTGGACACACTGTGTTAACAGCTGCTGCTGCACAACGGCCTTGGTCGTTCCGGAACTCAGAAAGAAACCGATGGGCTGTTTCCAGCGTTTGGTGACACTGACGCCCCGCACCATCATGACCAAGGCGTGGTCGGCGCAGGCATTGGCGCGCCCGAGAGAGCCATGATCAGCGAAGCCCTCGATGACGTCATCACCCCGCTGGTAGGCCAACTTTGGTTTCAGCTGCATTTCGTCGAACGAAATGATGCACAGCTTGTCCTTGGCACTTGCTCCGGCGAACTTCTCTTTTATGAGAGCCAAGATAGCGTCATGAAAGCCAGGTCGCATCTGTATTTTTTCCATCTTCCTCCGCAGAGTTCGAGGATGGGGAAGGACGTACCGTTTTTGTAGGAACCGATACGCCCTGGGACCAAGGCCATATATAGCCCTGGGACCCTGAAAGTAGAGCGCGAGTGCTCGCGCTTCCTCATCTTCATCAAATTTTAGACGAATTTCATCGAATGTCATTTAATTTTAGACCAATGTTAAAACTGTAATGCAATGAATATGTATAAATGCTCCCGTAACAATGTGTGTTAAAAGTTTCCAATAAAATATACAGTTACCATTTCAAAGTCACAGTCACAACTTGGCCCTTGAAGACGAATCATTCGACGATTGTTAAGAAAAAATGTATGTAATGTTCAGAAAATATATGAAAATGTAAACCCACGTGGAAAGAAATTCATCCACATCCTCCGCATCTCCGGATATTCATCCGGCAAAATCCTTGATTTTTGGTTACACACGTGGCAATGCTAATCGAAGCTCCTGTCCATTCCATGTCGTAGACTATATATTCCGTGGCAAGAGTGTTGAAAATGGTCCATAATATGCTATTTCACATTTATTGGGGTATTCAGGAATTGGAAGTAGCCTAACACCATTCCAGCAACTACTGGCGAATCCAGAAAGGCGGTGTTGGACGTTGCAAGGGTCATCCCCCAAAATTCACCCGATTCCAAAAACGTGTCCCAGATGACCCCCATGACCTCCAATGAGCTCTGCGATGACTCCAAGTTGACCTTTTTGACCTGACGTGTCCCATATGACCTCTGTAACCTCTAAATGATCTCTCTGATGACCCTAAGCTGAACTCTGTGACCTGACATGTCTGAGAAGAACCCCAGTTGAGCTCTGTGATGACCATAAGTTGACCTCTGTGACCTGACGTGCCCCCAAGTTGCCCTTTGTGACCGACGTGTCTCAGCTGCACCAGTGGTCTCCAATTGAGCTCTGTGATGACCCCAAGTTGACATCTGTGACCTGACGTGTCTCATATGACCTCTGTAACCTCTATGTGACCTCTATGATGATCCCAAGTTGACCTCTGTGAGCTGATGTGTCCCAGATGACCCCCATGATCTCCATCAGAGCTCTGTGATGACCCCAAGTTGACCTCTGTGACTTGACGTGTCCCATATGACCTCTGTGACCTCAAGTGACCTCTCTGATGACTCCAAGCTGATCTCTGTGACCTGACATGTCCCAGATGACCTCCAATTGAGGTCTCTGATAACCCCAAGCTGACCTCTGTGACCTGACATGTCCCATATGACCTCTGTGACCTCTAAGTGACCTCCCTCATGACCCCAAGTTGACCTGTGTGACATGACATGTCCCATATGACCTCTGCGACCTCTAAGTGACCTCCCTCATGACCCCAAGTTGACCTGTATGACCTGATGTGTCCCAGATGACCTCCGTGACCTCCAATTGAGCTCTGATGACTCCAAGCTGACCTCTGTGAACTGATATGTCCCAGATGACCTCCAATTGAGCTCACTGATGACCCCCAAGTTGACCTCTGTGACCTGACGTGTCCCATATGACCTCTGCAACCTCTAAGTGACCTCTCTGATGATCTTAAGCTGACCTCTGTGACCTGATATGTCCCAGATGACCTCCAGTTGAGCTCTTTGATGATCCTAAGCTGACCTCTGTGACCTGACGTGTCCCAAATGACCCTCAGTTGAGCTCTGTGATGACCCCAAGTTGACCTCTGTGACTTGACGTGTCCCATATGACCTCTGTGACATCAAGTGACCTCTCTGATGACTCCAAGCTGATCTCTGTGACCTGACATGTCCCAGATGACCTCCAATTGAGCTCTCTGATAACCCCAAGCTGACCTCTGTGACCTGACATGTCCCATATGACCTCTGTGACCTTTAAGTGACCTCCCTCATGACCCCAAGTTGACCTGTGTGACCTGACGTGTCCCAGATGACCTCCGTGACCTCCAATTGAGCTCTGATGACTCCAAGCTGATCTCTGTGACCTGATATGTCCCAGATGACCTCCAATTGAGTTCACTGATGACCCCCAAGTTGATCTCTGTGACCTGACGTGTCCCATATGACCTCTGCGACCTCTAAGTGACCTCTCTGATGACCTTAAGCTGACCTCTGTGACCTGACGTGTCCCAGATGACCTCCGTGACCTCCAATTGAGCTCTGATGACTCCAAGCTGACCTCTGTGACCTGATATGTCCCAGATGACCTCCAATTGAGCTCTTTGATGATCCTAAGCTGACCTCTGTGACCTGACGTGTCCCAAATGACTCTCAGTTGAGCTCTGTGATGACCCGAAGTTGACCTCTGTGACTTGACGTGTTCCATATGACCTCTGTGACATCAAGTGACCTCTCTGATGACTTCAAGCTGATCTCTGTGACCTGACATGTCCCAGATGACCTCCAATTGAGCTCCCTGATAACCCCAAGCTGACCTCTATAACCTGACATGTCCCATATGACCTCTGTGACCTTTAAGTGACCTCCCTCATGACCCCAAGTTGACCTGTGTGACCTGACGTGTCCCAGATGACCTCCGTGACCTCCAATTGAGCTCTGATGACTCCAAGCTGATCTCTGTGACCTGATATGTCCCAGATGACCTCCAATTGAGTTCACTGATGACCCCCAAGTTGATCTCTGTGACCTGACGTGTCCCATATGACCTTTGCGACCTCTAAGTGAGCTCTCTGATGACCTTAAGCTGACCTCTGTGACCTGACGTGTCCCAGATGACCTCCGTGACCTCCAATTGAGCTCTGATGACTCCAAGCTGACCTCTGTGACCTGATATGTCCCAGATGACCTCCAATTGAGCTCTTTGATGATCCTAAGCTGACCTCTGTGACCTGACGTGTCCCAGATGACCCTCAGTTTAGCTCTGTGATGACCCCAAGTTGACCTCTGTGACTTGACGTGTCCCATATGACCTCTGGGACATCAAGTGACCTCTCTGATGACTCCAAGCTGATCTCTGTGACCTGACATGTCCCAGATGACCTCCAATTGAGCTCTCTGATAACCCCAAGCTGACCTCTGTGACCTGACATGTCCCATATGACCTCTGTGACCTATAAGTGACCTCCCTCATGACCCCAAGTTGACCTGTATGACCTGACGTGTCCCAGATGACCTCCGTGACCTCCAATTGAGCTCTGATGACTCCAAGCTGACCTCTGTGACCTGATATGTCCCAGATGACCTCCAATTGAGCTCACTGATGACCCCCAAGTTGACCTCTGTGACCTGACGTGTCCCATATGACCTCTGCGACCTCTAAGTGACCTCTCTGATGATCTTAAGCTGACCTCTGTGACCTGACGTATCCCAGAAGGGCCCCAATTGAGCTCTGCGATGACCATAAGTTGACCTTTGTGACCTGACGTGTCCCAGATGACTTCTGTAACCTCCAATTGAGCTCTTTGATGATCCCAAGCTGACCTCTGTGACCTGACGTGTCCCAGAAGACCCCCAATTGAGCGCTGTGATGACCATAAGTTGACCTCTGTGACCTGACGTGCCCCCAAGTTGCCCTTTGTGACCGACGTGTCTCAGATGACCCCCATGACCTTCAATCGAGCTCTATGATGACCCCAACTTGACATCTGTGACCTGACGTGTCCCATATGACCTCTGTAGCCTCTACGTGACCTCTCTGATGACCCCAAGCTGACCTCTGTGACCTGACGTGTCCCAGATGACCCCCATGACCTTCAATCGAGCTCTGTGATGACCCAAGTTGACCTTTGTGACTTGACGTGTCCCAGATGACTTCCGTAACCTCCAATTGAGCTCTTTGATGATCCCAAGCTGACCTCTGTGACCTGACGTGTCCCAGAAGACCCCCAATTGAGCGCTGTGATGACCATAAGTTGACCTCTGTGACCTGACGTGCCCCCAAGTTGCCCTTTGTGACCGACGTGTCTCAGATGACCCCCATGACCTTCAATCGAGCTCTATGATGACCCCAACTTGACATCTGTGACCTGACGTGTCCCATATGACCTCTGTAGCCTCTACGTGACCTCTCTGATGACCCCTAAGCTGACCTCTGTGAGCTGACGTGTCCCAGATGACCCCCATGATCTCCAACAGAGCTCTGTGATGACCCCAAGTTGACCTCTGTTACCTGACGTGTCCCTGAAGACCTCCGTGACTTTTATTTGAGCTCTGATGACTCCGAGCTGACCTCTGTGACCTGACATGTCCCAGATGAACTCCAATTGAGCTCTCTGCTAACCCCAAGTTGCCCTTTGTGACCGACGTGTCTCAGATTGCCTCCGTGGTCTCCAATTGAGTTCTGTGATGACCCCAAGTTGACCTGTGTGACTTGGCGTGTCCCATATGACCTCTGTGACCTCTAAGTGACCTCTCTGATGACTCCAAGTTGACCTTTGTGACCTGACGTGTCCCAGATGACCCCCATGTCTCTCTCTCTCTCTCTCTCTCTCTCTCTCTCTCTCTCTCTCTCTCTCTCTCTCTCTCTCTCTCTCTCTCTCTCTCTCTCTCTCTCTCTCTCTCTCTCTCTCTCTCTCTCTCTTTCTCTTCACGTGCCGGTGTCGTGGATCCTATAGGCAAATTTTGTACATACTAATGTTGATCCCCAGTCTCTGACCGGACATGTATTTTCCTTCCCGCAGGATGCCGGCGGCGGCGACGACAGTGTGCCGGCGCACATCTCTATGGAGGTGGACACGGCGACCCGTGGGCGACCGCCGCTGCCGTGGTTTGCTACAGGTGGCCATGGCCACTAATCTGTCACGAACTTCTGACAGTGAACGCCAGTCGGTTCTCGGATGTGAGGACGCGCCCGTCGAATAAAGTGACGGAGATGCACCGTGTGACAGTGTGCGACGTGCGTTTTCCGGGCGAGTTCGTTGCGCTGTGTGCCGGTCGTGCGCGGGACTGGTACCACCCGTCGTTCCACCAGTTCTCAGTGCTGCAGCGCGCCGTGCGCGATCTCAGTGCCGCCGCCGAGGAGACTGTGCGCCGCGAGCTGCCGCCCGAGGACCGGCCGGCGCTGACCCGGCTGTCACCTCTAACTGACGGCGCGCTGTCGCTTCGTCCTCCGACCCTGCGCCGGCCGCGCCGGGAGGCCGAGCTGCTGACCCAGCTGCAGCAGCTGGCGGTGGCCCTGGACGGCGCCTGCCCCCTGGTGTTGGATGGCAGCTGCGGGAGCCACGTGACGCCGTCTGCGCTTTTGGCGCCAGGAGAGCTTGACGCTGCTGCGAGCACTACAGGGCTACTAGCGGTACGTCACGTGCTGCTGGTTTTCTAGAGACGGATGTTTGCTGATATTAGGCTGTTAAGACTGAGCCGTGATGCTGTGGCCGGTGGGAGTGCCGGCGCCGGTCGTGGTGCACCCGACGCCCAGCGCTCCGCTTCGCGCTGCTACCACACAGGTAGGGTTCGGCACACCGACTCCCGATGGCTACGTGGACAGTGAAAATATTGCAATGTTATGGTACAGGTAGAGTGACCGTTCCGTTCTTTGTCAGGTCTCTGAATGGAGCTGTGTTCCGGTGGGCGGCTGGCTGCGCTCTCTCGGTCTGGCCCAGTACGCCGACGCGTTCGTCGCCCGCTCTGTGGATGGCGCCCGGCTTCTGGGGCTCACCGAACAGGCTATGGAAGACGAGCCCGACATCGGTGAGAGATTCACATTGCTAGCTGAGAAGGTGGATGTGACTCGAATTATTCAGTTCATAGCTTGATTTATCTACCTTAATCTATTTATATGAATCGTATTGCCACCATTAACCTAACTCCTGACTCGTGATTGTGGTTGCCTCAGTTGTAGGCCTTAAGTGCACCGCATTTTGACAGGTCTCGACGTGGCGACCTCGAAGCCAGCGTGTTGGGTCTCGGCTTCCCGCCACTCACCGGCGGACCTTTCCGCTTCGTGGACCGCATCGGTCCCGCACAGCTAGTCAAGGACATGGAGCGCTTCGCCGTCGTCAGTGGCGTCGGCTTCGAGCCGTGCCTGACCGTGCACTACCAGGCCGCTAGCGGCACCAAGTTCTGTTCGGCCGGGCCTCGTGTAATGCCCACATGTGATGACCGAGTGTATACGCATGTGAAGCCGCTCCGCGTGTGTGCCAGCGCTGGGCGTGTTCAGTTTCAAAGTAAATATAGAACCCTGGTGATGAAGCTGCAGTTTTTGACGAGAAATAGAGTGAGGTCATTTTGAAAGCGATCAGACGGTAGCGCCGCCGTTCTTTGGCACGCCTTAGCATGCATATGTGCTACACTAAAAGTTTAGGCTCGTGTCTTTCAAGGTCAGCAGGGTGAGGGCACCAGGTGCTTCAAGTGGCCTCGTCTCAGGTAGAGTTCTAATACTCGTTCTAATACTACCAAGTACCAACACACGTATCTAGTCAAGGAGCTGAGTTGAAATCGAGGGGATGGGGGGCTGTTCAGCCCCTTCACTGGGGGGTTCACGGTTCAGCCCCTCCCCCATCAGGCGCGAAAATCTTGGAGCCCCAGCGTGGAGTGAGATAACCTTTTCGACGGCATGTGATCGGGTATTGCATCGAATGACACTGGGCGATTGAAAGATGTTTCAGCTCGCTTGTCAAGGCAAACATTTATTCACAACGAAAACAGACAAAGGCACATGTGGATTGCTAATGGATAATGGATAATGGCAGCAGGCAACACCCAGGTCGTGCGCCGTCTGCTGGAGAGCCAGCGGCTGGTGCGTCCTGAGCGGGGTCGCCACAGACGCCGCTCGTCACCCAGACAGCCGGAGACCGGCGGACCGGCCGGGACGCCTAACGACAGACACAACGACCCCTCATGGCGCTATGTAGCGGGCTACCAGTGAGAGGTCACGGAAAGGTCAGCTCATAATGTGCACGGCGTGACATACAGTGTTAATGTCATCCCGCGGTCGCCGGACAGTGAAAAATTGGACAATGACATTTCGCCGTCAAGACGAGCTCTACTGTCTACAAGACACAAGTAGTCTACATACTGTCTGCTACCGAAACTACTGTCGAGCTTCTTACTGCTAGTAAGAAATTACACAGGTCTAGATGCAATTTCAGCGATGAACTTCGGTAGTGCATGGCTGTGCAATTTCAATCACAAGATATTCTTGTTCATACATATCGTATTATCGGCATGGTACTCGCTCGTTATCACGCTTGCGTGGGCATACGGTAGCTCAAGGAAAATATGGATAATCGTAGAAGCCGGTATCAAGGGAATCCAGTGAGCACGAACACGCAGTACACGTGGGTGCTTTCTAGTTTCCTGGACGGTCACGCTTAGTGTAGCTAGCTCGGCCTTAAAAGATCATCACGGACACGGGGCTACGCGGCATTATATACCACCAGCAGACAGGATTTGATCTCTAGCAGACAAGCTTCTATCGGTGCCCCGCGCCGTCTCTCAACAATCGTCCACAGCCGCAGCTCCTGTGCACTGAGACGCTGTCACGACCGCGTCGTATCGCTACTGGAAGCCAGCCCACTGCCCGGTCTCTGCCGCGTCTCCGGCGGTTGGGACCTGTGCCGGGGGCGCCTCCTCCAACAGATTAGTGGCCATGGCCACCTGTAGCAAACCGCGGCAGCGGCGGTCGCCCACGGGTCGCCGTGTCCACCTCCATAGAGATGTGCGCCGGCGCACTGTCGTCGCCGCCGCCGGCATCCTGCGGGAAGGAAAATACATGTCCGGTCAGAGACTGGGGATCAACATTAGTATGTACAAAATTTGCCTATAGGATCCACGACACCGGCACGTGAAGAGAAAGAGAGAGAGAGAGAGAGAGAGAGAGAGAGAGAGAGAGAGAGAGAGAGAGAGAGAGAGAGAGAGAGAGAGAGAGAGAGAGAGAGAGAGAGAGAGAGAGAGAGAGAGAGAGAGAGAGAGAGAGAGAGAGAGAGAGAGAGAGAGAGAGAGAGAGAGAGAGAGAGAGACATGGGGGTCATCTGGGACACGTCAGGTCGCAAAGGTCAACTTGGAGTCATCAGAGAGGTCACTTAGAGGTCACAGAGGTCATATGGGACACGCCAAGTCACACAGGTCAACTTGGGGTCATCACAGAACTATATTGGAGACCACGGAGGCAATCTGAGACACGTCGGTCACAAAGGGCAACTTGGGGGCACGTCAGGTCACAGAGGTCAACTTAGGGTCTTCACAGAGCTCAATTCAGGGTCATCTGGGACACGTCAGGTCACACAGGTCAACTTGGGGTCATGAGGGAGGTCACTTATAGGTCACAGAGGTAATATGGGACATGTCAGGTCACAGAGGTCAGCTTGGGGTTATCAGAGAGCTCAATTGGAGGTCATCTGGGACATGTCAGGTCACAGAGATCAGCTTGGAGTCATCAGAGAGGTCACTTGATGTCCCAGAGGTCATATGGGACACGTCAAGTCACAGAGGTCAACTTGGGTCATCACAGAGCTCGATTGAAGGTCCTGGGGGTCATCTTGGACACGTCAGGTCACAGAGGTCAGCTTGGGGTAATCAGAGAGATCACTTAGAGGTCGCAGAGGTCATAAGGGACACGTCAGGTCACACAGGTCAACTTGGGGTCATGAGGGAGGTCACTTAGAGGTTACAGAGGTCATATGGGAAATGTCAGGTCACAGAGGTCAGCTTGGGGTTATCAGATACCTCAATTGGAGGTCATCTGGGACATGTCAGGTCACAGAGATCAGCTTGGAGTCATCAGAGAGGTCACTTGATGTCACAGAGGTCATATGGGACACGTCAAGTCACAGAGGTCAACTTGGGGTCATCACAGAGCTCAATTGAGGGTCATCTGGGACACGTCAGGTCACAGAGGTCAGCTTGGGGTCATCAAAGAGCCCAATTGGAGGTTACGGAGGTCATCTGGGACATGTCAAGTCACAGAGGTCAACCTGGGTCATCACAGAGCTCGATTGAAGGTCATGGGGGTCATCTTGGACACGTCAGGTCACAGAGGTCAGCTTGGGGTAATCAGAGAGATCACTTAGAGGTCGCAGAGGTCATATGGGACATGTCATGTCACACAGGTCAACTTGGGGTCATGAGGGAGGTCACTTAGAGGTCACAGAGGTCATATGGGACATGTCAGGTCACAGAGGTCAGCTTGGGGTTATCAGAGACCTCAATTGGAGGTCATCTGGGACATGTCAGGTCACAGAGATCAGCTTGGAGTCATCAGAGAGGTCACTTGAGGTCACAGAGGTCATATGGGACACATCAAGTCACAGAGGTCAACTTGGGGTCATCACAGAGCTCTGATGGAGATCATGGGGGTCATCTGGGACACATCAGCTCACAGAGGTCAACTTGGGATCATCATAGAGGTCACATAGAGGTTACAGAGGTCATATGAGACACGTCAGGTCACAGATGTCAACTTGGGGTCATCACAGAGTTCAATTGGAGACCACTGATGCAGCTGAGACACGTCGGTCACAAAGGGCAACTTGGGGGCACGTCAGGTCACAGAGGTCAACTTATGGTCATCACAGAGCTCAACTGGGGGTCTTCTGGGACATGTCAGGTCACAGAGTTCAGCTTAGGGTCATCAGAGAGATCACTTAGAGGTTACAGAGGTCATATGGGACACGTGAGGTCCCAGAAGTCAAGTTGGGGTCATCACAGAGCTCAAATGGAGGTCATCTGGGACATGCCAGGTCACAGAGGTCAGCTTAGAGTTATCAGAGCTAAACTGGAGGTCACGGAGGTCATCTGGGACACGTCAGGTCAAAAAGGTCAACTTGGGGTCATCGCAGAGCTCATTGGAGGTCATGGGGGTCATCTGGGACACGTTTTTGGAATCGGGTGAATTTGGGGGGATGACCCTTGCAACGTCCAACACCGCCTTTCTGGATTCGCCAGTAGTTGCTGGAATGGTGTTAGGCTACTTCCAATTCCTGAATGCCCCAATAAATGTGAAATAGCATATTATGGACCATTTTCAACACTCTTGCTGCCTCGCTGGCATGGATGGAGGCCTCATAAACGACCTGTCAGTTCAAGCTCTATAACTTGCATTAGCATCAATGGATTGCAACAAAATTTTCAGGATCTCAAGTTCAAACAATTTTACACGTACCACGTAAATTTCGAGGCAATGACCCGAATGACCTGTGACCTATTCGGTATACCCCAAGGCAAGGTCAACTTGCGACACTGACACTACTTACGACTGCTATTTCAATTTTGTAAGTTGTGTCGCAAATCAGGCAACGTGCAATACATTAAAATTACAATAACCCACACCAAAAAACACTATACCTACCAAATCAAGTTCTTCAGCACCCCTAAGGCCAGTGCACTGGCACGGGGCACGTCCAAGGTCAAATCGCGTTTCTCAGATTTTCGGTTTGTTATTTTCATCAAGGTTTTGATAGGTGCTCGCACGGTAGCCATGTTGGGATAGGTGAATTAAAGGTTAAATTATTTAAATATTTTAAAATAATTTAAGACCTGCCAAGCCTAACAATACGCAGAATAATAACCAGCATTAAAAATTGTATTGGGATAAAAATTTATATGTGAATCGAAAGGGTCCGCTAAAAATGACCTTGACCTTTGACCCGTCATTTCTCCGTAGTTTGACCTTGCCAAAACAAGAAAAACCAGCAGTAGCATCTCCAACATTGGTTGCATTATTGAACAAAAAATTATTGAAATCTAAGGGGTCCTCCTTTCTCACCTGGCCACGTGGTCACTTCCACTTCCTGTATTACACATACGTGACCTTGATTCTGACCTTTGACCTACTATATATCAGTTCGTGCTGCTTGCCAAAGTAAGAAAATGATATTTTTGAAATCAGCTCTTCATGGACTATAGTTGTACCAATTTTTACGAGAATCCAAAGGGTCCGCCGAGAATGACCTTGAACTTTGACCTAAGATTCCTCAGTTCTTAGGGGGTGCCAAGCCTAGTTGATTTATTTTCGTAATAAGCATGTCCTGTTCTATCTATCCTGTTAATTTAAATCGATTCTGAGGGGTCCGTTTTTGTCATTTTTTCCACGAATGTGGTGCTGGAATCCGAATCCGAATTTGAAGCCAACTTTATGAACGTAGCGAAGGCGGTGTTTTTCCACTTAGATTCTTTTTGATTTGTATCTTTCCATTGATAATTTCAATTATATACTGAAAAGGTTTTTCTTTCTTACGCTTTCGGAAGGTAAGGTTGAGGTGTGTGGATGGCATAGGCCTTAAGATGGGGCCTAATAGGGCCAGTAAGAGGGTAAGGGCCGATGATCTGACTGATAGTTTCTGGGGGGAGGAGGAGTCTCAGTCTGGATCCTACCTCTCAGTGAAGCTCCTAGCAGGTAGATCTCCTAGAGAGAAGGGATGGCCATGGATACAACAATGCATCAGAGGGATTCTTGGGGGCACGGAGAAAGTTGAAAAGGCTAGCTTCATGAGTGATGGACGGTTGCTGGTGAGGACTAAGACTAGCACCCAGACTGAGAAACTTCTCAAAGCTCGGATGTTCGGAGACATGGAATGTGTTGTAGAACGAGAGGAGAGACTAAACCAGAGTCGGGGAACTATCCATGCAGTAGACCTGATTGATCTGTCTGAGGAAGAGATTGTTGGATGGCTGACGGAATTCGGGGTGGTGGCCGCTAGGCGATTTACCAGGAGAACCGGAAGCCGTATCGAAAGAACCCCGACTATCCTTCTTACATTCAACAGACCCACGTGCCCCACAAAACTTGAAGTCTTGAAGTCTTGAAGTCTTGTATGTGCGGAAGAAGGCGTACTGCCTGTAACTTCCATTACTCCTTACTGATTGAGTGGGTATATGGCAGATCTGGGTGAGGATGATCGTGGGATAATTCAAGGATATAATGCTTTGTCATCCAGTTCCTCGATTCGGTGGCATTTACTCCAATTTAAGCCTCTCACTCTTCAAAAACTCGTCCACACTTCTTTTAAACAGCAAAGTTGATTTTGACCTCACAATTTTCTCTGGAAGGCTATTCCATAAGTTACATGCCCGATGTGTGAGGAAAGACCTTCGTACTCGTTTCTTTACACTAACTTTTGCGATCCGTAACGTGTGTCCTCTTGTATGTCTTGCTTCTGGTTTAAATTGCAACATATCAGCTTCCGTCTTGAGTTTCCCAGTAATAAGTTTATACAATGTTATTAGGTCACCGCGCGTTCTTCTGTACTTGAGTGTAGGTAAGTTCAGTTCTGTCAGCCTTTCTTGGTATGGGACATTGCTCAAACCTGGGACCATTTTTGTGAATCGTCTCTGCGTTTTCTCCAGTAAGTCTTGGTCTCCTTTGAAGGTAGGTCCCCACACACAGTTGCCATACTCAAGTACAGGTCGTATTAGTGTTCGATACAATTTAGAAATCATGTCCTTGTTCAAGTAAGTGAAACTCCGCTTGATAATTGCATGAAGCATCTTGCACTTCTTTGCGACTCTTGCAGCATGCACATGGAACTTCAAATCGTTATCCATCGTTACCCCTAAATCTCTCTCAGAAGTGCTTTCCCTGAGTTGCACTTGGCCCAGTGTATACTTATGAAGTGGGTTTTTTGGCCCGAGATGCATTACTGAGCACTTGTCGAGATTCAATGGTAGCTGCCAGTATTGTGTCCATGCCAGGATGTTATCAAGGTCCAGCTGTAGGTTCCTACTGTCCTGGTAAGAAGTAACTGGGTGGAAAATCTTTGCATCGTCTGCAAACAATCGAATGCTGCTTGATTCCATCACCTCAGGCAAGTCGTTTATATAGAGCAGGAAACACAAAGGTCCCAGTACAGTACCTTGTGGGATTCCACTTGTGACGTCCACCCAATCAGACATAATACCGTTCACAGAGACACTTTGTTTTCTTCCACAGAGAAACCCTTCGAGCCATTTAACGACTTTTGGTCCTAGCCCATACGCACCAAGCTTCTTCAGTAGTCGTTGGTGCGGGACCGCGTCAAAGGCTTTCTTGAAATCAGTGTAAATGACGTCTACTGGCTGACCTTGTTCTAGATACTTTGTCCACTGATTCATACAAGACAACAACTGTGATTCACACGACTTCCCTGGGACAAAACCATATTGAAAATCTGAGAGTAGTGATTGATCTAGCAGGTGTGCCATTATAGCTTGTTTTACAATACCCTCCATGACCTTTGAAACAACACTCGTAAGGCTTACGGGTCTATAGTTACCAACTTCGTGGCGGTCTCCTTTCTTAAATATTGGTTTAACCAGAGCCATTTTCCAGTCGCTTGGCAGTTGTCCCGAGTCGAGTGACTTTTGGAATAATATCCTAATAGGTTTACATAATGCTTGTGCAGTTCCCTTCAGGAATTGGGAATGAATTCCATCAATACCGGAGGCCTTACCCGGTTTCAGATCTTCTAGCCTCTTCTTGATGTCTTCACTTTTAATATTGATGTCTTCAAGGACACTCCCATATGGTCTGGTGTCTAGTGTTGGCATGTCCTGCAGGTTCTCCTTTGTGTACACACTTTGGAAGAATGCATTCAAGGCTTCACATTTTTGTCGGTCTGTTTGAGCAATTCTCCCATCGTCCAGTTTCAGTGTCTCTACAGAAGGTTTAACCTTTAGAGACTTGTTCACATATTTCCAGAAGGACTTCTTGTTGGTTTTCATGGCGCTTACTATTTTGTTTTCCATCTCAAACTTAAGCTTCCTTGTCAATGTTCTTAGCTGGTTCCTGAGTTTGGCAAAGTTTCTGAAGTCAGAGTCTTGTCTGGTAATACAATACTTTTCCCATAACCTCTCTTTCTTTCTACGGAGAGAAAGAGCCTCTTGGTTCATATATGATTGAAGCTTCTTTCTTCTACGTTTTATTTTAACTTCATCCTGGATGATGTTTCTTATAGCTTCAGTTATTGTACCCCATGCCTGCTGTACAGTTTGCATAGATATCTTCTCATCAAGTTTGTAACATTGTAGTCTAGCATTAATCCTGTTGAAGTCCGCATGCTTCCAGTCTTGGTAGAAGTGTTTATGTTCCCGTGTCTCAGGCTTTTGACAAACTGCTGAAAAGTGAATAGAAATGTGATCACTTTGTCCAAGTCCCGGAAGGAATTCCACATCTTGAATTATGTCTTCCTCGTTTGTAAAAACCAAATCTAATATTTGTGGAGTCTGACCTTGCCTGTACCTTGTAGGCTCAAGGATGTGCTGGAAAAGGAGGCAGTCCCTGATGCCCTGAAGGAAGGTTTCCACGTCAGGGGGAGCTCCTGGGAGGCTCCTCTCACACCTCCAATCAATATCTCTGATGTTAAAGTCTCCGCACAGTATCAAGCACGGAGGATTCATTTTGACAGCTTCCTTCATAATTGATACAATTGCTGGAACAGATTCATTTAATGTCAGTGACGGACTCCGGTACAGTGCACCGAGCAATGCATAATCATGTTGGCCAATCAGAATCTTCACCCAGAGCTGGTCCCGGTAAAACCCAAAGCTTTTCACTGCTTGAGCTTCAAGGTAATCCTTAACGTAGATGACTATACCTCGCCCCTGAGGAGCTTGCCCACAGAGATCACAGTCAAAGTTGAGGTGTTCTGTATATCCGTCTACATGAAGACATACTTGTGGTATGGGGCTTGCCTGTGCTTTGGGAATAGCCTCTGTAACAATTATGACATCAGGTTCGCGTTCGTGAATATGCACTTTAAGATCAGTCATCTTATTCAGCAATTGGTCCGCATTTGTGTAATAAACCTTGAGCCTTCTAGCTGATGAGTCTTTCATTTTCCTTTTCACAACTCTTCTTCCCGGATCATGTCAGTATGATACAGTGCTGGATGACCTTAGACCAGGTCTATCTTCCCTTCTGATGACTCTGTTCTTGTGAATTATCACATCTTCACCTGCTTCCCTGCGTTCTTTCAACTGTTTTCTAAGATTCTTATCCCTTAATTGCTCAGCTGGTGACAGATCTGGAGCTATGTATATTTTTTCAAACCTGCTTCCTGCATTTCGAAGTTTCTTCGCCATCTTCAGCAGCTCCCATTTCTCGCCCTCGTCCCGAAGTGTTACTACTATGAGCCTATCTTTGTCTTCCTTGCGCCTTCCAACTCGAACCACCTTCTCTGGATGGATTATCATCTTTAATCCCTGCTTCATAAGCTCCTTCACATTATCAAGGTCTTTGGAAGCTTGTTCGTCCAAGGGAAGTTCAATGTTTTGCTCAGGTACATTGAAGACCACGATGTTTCGCCTTCTCTTGTCTTGTTCGAGACAGTCTACGAATGTACTTCGTAGCTCTTTGGCCTGTTCAGTTGGTTTGGATGTGCTTTCTTTCTCTAGCTTGTCGGTGAGTTGCTTGACTATGTCCGCATACGACACACTTTCCTCCTGAACAGCCTTTTTCACTACAGTTTTCAAATTCTCTGATGATTTTGTTTCTTGCGATTTGATCATTGTACCTATTTCCATCATAATCTCTTTTTGGACAATCAAAGCTCTAGCAACATTTTCTACTGTCTCACCTAGCTCCCTGAGCCGCTTCTCTGTCCCACCGCTTTCGTCTGATCCAGTATTTTCATCCAAACTTCCCCTTTTTTCGGAATTGGTTTTTCCCTTCCTTACAACTTCCTGAAAGTCCTTCAGATATGATTTACACTTTTTGCAAATCCAGAACAGACTGTGATTTTC